GGTCCATGTCTCAGCGATATTATCCTCCGCAGTCATTTCATTTTTCCTGCCATTCGCAGTCGGACTGGTGCTGACAGCTTATGGTGTATACGGTCTGCATGTGTGTGTGTGTTTTATGTAAATCATTGTGGGCAAACCTTAGTCCCCGTGGTGTGTATGACCGCAGACAGTGACATGTCTTAATTTTAAAATGTCTTCGTCTTCAGCACATTCATGTACGTCATCTCCTTTTGCGGTTTTATAACAGGCGGCATCAGTTGTCCGATCTTCGGGGAGGATATGTGGTCTGGTCGCTGCATCCCTACTCGGCGGTGATCGCATTCGTGGAGTTCTGCCATCTACCAGTAGACTGGTAAGAGATGGCGCCCTCAGAGAACCGCGGACTTCTGGGTACCAGCTTCCTTCACGGGGCGCACTAGAGGGAGAATCATTTTCACCGATGTTGATGGGACCACCGAAATAAGGTCAACGTTGTAGAGATGTTTTCGCTGGCAGAAACCAAGTGCCCACACAGCCAGTGGACAAAGTTCTCTGTAATGAAGTAGCATCGCGCATGGTTATTATTTTGACCTACCCAGATGAGAAAAATGCTCTTGGTAAGTTGTTCTTCGTATGTAGCATATCGCAGTAAAGTTTACTGTTGTCCGCGTAGCTCGTGATCCCTGCCGAATTAATTGTGGTAAATCAGTTTGGTAGAACAACAACCCTTAATCCGGTATTTCATGAGAATTCCCCTGGGCTGCATGTCCCTTTGCCTTAGACTGTATCCTAGTATCCTTACAAGTGACCACTGAAGACCACTTAGTACGGCCCATGCGTTCACACTGCTTTTTTATCTTCGATTACAGTGCTGGTATTGCTTAGAAGTAGTTAAAGTTGACGCTTTCTTCAGCCAATTTGGTTTGGTAAAAAACCACGAGTCAAGCATCTAGAGGATCACACAGTTGTCACCTCTAAAGGGGGTCCCGACTGTCGGCCGGCTACCATCAGGTGTGCCGTTGTTTGAGAGCAGACGCTGTTCCTCCATGCTGCATCTGCGTCCGGAATAATCTTCCATTTAGTCTAATAAAGTTGCTTTGCATGCATTTCCACCAGAGCTATAACACCAGGCGTTTTCTCTCGGAACAGTGGGTGATTCGACCTCATTACTCGAGGCCTGACAATTATCCCGGTCTGTTTATAACTCCGACTCCGAGTGATATAAAGATGCCGTTGACGGCCTCCGAAACGTTCCTTACAGGAACGCTCGTTAAAATCGGAGACTGATGTTGCCCGTTCCTCCGCATCTGTAGCGTATGCGCGGGTAGTTATTCGTTCTTAGGAACACTTGAAGACATCACAATCCAGTATTCTTGGCCGGCTTGGCAGAGCTGCGATTATGTCTGGCCTATCCGGTCTCGATGTCACGAACTGTACTTCTCCACGCTGACGATTCACAGCAGCAGATCCGGCCGACTCGACCCATTCTCTGGTCAGAAACAAAGGCCAAATACTGAAGGTTCGTGAACCGCTTCCATGTCTTGAGAGACTGCATTGATCCAGCCCTTGATGACCCCCTTCTTCGACGCCTCTAATGAGTAGCGGTGCTAGGTCGAGGACAGTAACATTGAGCTCCTGAGGTGGACGAAGGACGTGTCCAAACCACCACTGTCGTCTTTCTTGAATAGCCTGGGGTATCCTTGCGATGCTGTCGCATCGAGGTTATACCGTCTTATTTGAGACGGTGTCGGTGTACTTCACTCGGAGGATGGTTCTCAAGCAGTGATGATCAAATATCTCCAGTTTTCGCTCATCTTCCGCGTACATAGCCCAGCATTTTCAACCGTATGGAGGGACCAACCAGACGGATGCACGGTACATGTGGATCGTAATACTGTATTCGGACTTATTTTCATGAGTACAAGTCGGGCTATTTTTTCGATGTTGTCCCTTCTAACGCTTTGGTTCAAGAACCGAATCACAGGTCAGTGGTGGCAAGCAAACTCATTTAACATAGTCGCCATGTTACAGTACCATCATCGAGCTTTGCCACACTATAAGGCTGTCGGCGTACGTGATCCCAACCCCTCCACACTATCAGCACTGTCGCCGCCGGTCGACGACTGCTCGGGGGCCTGCTTATTTCACAGCTAGCCTGTGGACGCGCCGGGTAGCCGGCAACTAGGCAAACGAGTAACCCACTTTCCCGGGTTGCATTTTGGTCCACTGTAGTGCGTCTCAACAGCCATATAACACCCGTACCCAACCGTGTTTGTGATTGAAATTCAGTGCTTGCGCCGTGTTCGTCGCTTTTCTGAACACCAGTTTATAGGCTCTGAAAATATTTGTGGCTGACGTGGCGACTAAGGCATCATTCACACCAAGTACCCTTTATCTGCGACTCTTTCTGATGATGCAGTAAGAGGCTTTAACGTGTTTTCCGGTGTCTCGACACCGCCTAAGGAGTCCAAATGATTTAACAAAGTTTTATTTGAAATAACCATAGAGGAGACTACGTCAGGAGACTACACACTACTCAAAGCAAACCGATTACTCTTAGCTCTAGTGCCGCTGTCTGGTAAACCGCGAAATTCTTGCCAAATTGCTTACAATTGGTGTCCAATGCCTATATTGTAGTTTTTTTTTACCTTTAGCTAGGTCACTATGATCATCGAGTTTCACGAGAAGAATAATGCATTAAACGGTGTACCTCTGCTGAGCAAAGACGGCGTTGGCGGATGTGAGAAAAGCGACAAACTACCGAGGCTCCTTCATTGCGGCCAGCTCTGTCCACTGGCCGGGCGGGAACATGGCGTCTGGCGGTGAAAACATCTCCATGATGTTTGATACTTTTGTGTCCTTCACCTGCAACAGTGGTTCTTCCTCCAAAGTGTTATTGCAAGGGCGAACCGCACAGTTCACGTGGGGGCAGCTGGCAGCCAAAAGTCCGCGGTGTGGCTGAGGTCGCCTTCTCTTGGCAGTCCATTGACAGTTGGCAGAACTCCACGGAAGCATGTACAAGGAAGAAAAATCGACAGTGGGAGAGATCCGAACCGCCAAAAACGAAAACCCGACTGTCGCCGGGCAGGGACATAGCAACTGGACCGCCCCTTTCCTTCCGCAGATCGGGCAGTTTGCACCGCCTACTGGGGGCCGTGTGAAGAAGGCGTAATGCAAACGAATCGGAAGAACAGCGTCTTTGCAGAAATATGTCTCACGAGTG